ATATTTAAATATACTTATAATTACTTTATATTTATAATTAATCTATAATTATTTATATTTATATTTATGACAAATATACATACCTCTTTTATATTTTTCCACTGGCACAATTTAATATTACTTAAACCATCAAACTTAACGATTATTTTTCAAACACAAAAATAAAATTGATGCTTCTGGTAAACAAAACCACATGTGAATGTGACAGAAGCATATTTTGAATTTGAAAATCAAGTTTCGCGTTTTTCCCGCAAGGGACGCCACCTCTGTCTATTCGAATTTTCCGGAATGATGTTATAGAGAATGGGGCCATTTTTTCTGTATTCCTCATATAGAGTGAAGGCTCCTTATTCTTAATTTTTCGATTTAAAAATTTTTTCGATTAAAAAATAATTTTTGGAAAAAAGACGATAAATTTTTTTTTTTTGAGTATTTTTAAAAAACCTTTGGTCATATTTGAAATATTAATATGATAAAAGAGCCTACCAAATTTTATCTAAATACATTAAAACCTGTTAAAATTATCTTCTAAACAAAAAAGGGATCTACACACACACACATACATACATCCGGACAATTCATCAGGATCTCGTATAACATGTTTCTATATAGAGAAAAATTTGTTTCCGACACTTTTAAAATTTTTATAAACGAAAGGACTACAAAGCTTCCTCCACGAGGAAGCAAAATAAATAAATAATTAAGGGACAAAAGAATTAAATTGATTAAATAGATTAAATAAATTTTTCATTAATCGTTGAATTAGTCTGGAAAAATACACAAGGCCACCAGGCAAACTATTTTAGAGACTGTTAAATTCGACAATTAAATCAAAATTATTATTAATTGTCAAATTAGTCTGAAGATTACACACGGCCACCAGGCTTTTACTCAAAGACTGTCAAATTCTATAATCAAGGAAAACTCAAAGCAAAGAAATGATTCAAAATTCAAATTAAATTAAAATAGTATTCCTTTTACTCGGTCTGCCGCAGTCCCAATTCTTGGTTAACAGAAGAAAGGTCGGTTCGGAAAGATTCGAAAAGATTTTATTTTTTTCAAATTAAATAAAACATCAGATTTTATAAACAAAAGGTTAATAAATTTCTTTATTTAAATTTTAAACATTATAAAAATTTGAGTTCAGACTCGATATAATGCAAAGAAAAATAATTACTTATTCTTTTTAAAAGAATAAGGATTCTTTAATTCGAGGAATGATAAAAAGGATTAAATTGAAATGGATACAATCCTTTCTTAAAAAAACAGTGGTGCACTCCCTGGCGGATTGGGAAAACCGAGTTGTAACCGAATTGGGTTACGATTCGGTTACGTTTCGGTTCATTGTGAAATATTATCGTTAATCGACGAAATATTTAGTAAATAACTATTAGGAATGGTTAATATACATTTAGAGTGCTTATTTATGAAATAATAATAATAATAAATTGAGATATAATTAATTAATAATAAGTGTTTTAAGTGTACAGAGCATAGAGTTGTTGAATTACCATATATATGTATATTACCATCAGCGGCAGCTGTGATACGCGCGTTAAACACTAGATGGCGTTAATTTGTGAATGAATTTCTAAAATATAGAAACAAAAATTTTTTCGAAAAATATCTAAATAAGGAATGAGCATTGCGAATGTGAAATCTTAATAGAAAGGCGAAACGTAAATCAAGATTAGAAATGTATAGGTGGATTAATTGATAGTTTTAAATCAACAGATTGAAATGAAAAATTACTCATTTCAATATAAGTTAATATATTGCGTTTTTGTTCATTTTTCATTAAAAAGATAATATCAAAATAATTATTGCTCTTCCTATGACAAATGAATTACAAAATAACTAATAATTAAAATTTTTAATTTTTCAAAATAGTAATTTCATTAAATAAAATTTTTAAAATATAAATAAAATGAAATAGAATTATTTCGTAAACTTTGCGTGCGAAGAATTATGAATATTAATCATTAAGTTTGATTTAACAATTGAATAAATAGATCACAAAATTTCATAATAAATCAAGTCAGTTTTTTGTAAAATTTTACAATTTTTTACAAGTTGAAAATGAAAAAAATAAAATAAAATTGAAAAATTAATTTATTTTATGGTTCAACAATTTTTAACGTGAATTATTATTCAATTTAAAAATTGATTTATTTGAATTTGGAGATCCATTTTTTGAAAATATAAAAAAATTAAACAATTTTTCATGAATAGAAAATATAATTAAAAATTAATTGCATAAAAATTCAATTGATAATTTAAAATTTATTATATAATATATATGAGACATTTCATATGAGAAGACGGGGTCATGTCTCGGATTTTTCTCAAAATTCGGTAAATTGTAGTGATAGTGGTGCTAAATGAGTGTACAAATTTTGAATTTGGAATTTTTAATATTTTTCGAGATATTTACAATAACAAATTTGAGCAATATTTTTTTGCTTTACTTATAACTTTTTTCCTATTAAAAATAGAGAAAAATGTTGTGAATGTTTTTTAAGCGGAAGATCTTAAACTTTTAAAAAAAAATTATTTTTTTAAAAAAATATTAATTTTTAAACAATTTGTTTAAAAAATAAAATTTGTTTATAACTTTTAACCATGTTCTCCCTCATTTAGAAGCGCGAAAAAAATCATGAATATTGTTTAAGTCATAATAAATTGATGGTTAAATTTTTGAGATGGCATTATTTTTTGCTTTCGAGATATTAATTAATTAACTAACAAAAGTTAATAAAAAATGAAATATTTTACGAACAAATAAAATTAGAGTAATTTGAAAAACACCATTATAATGCTTATCAAAATCCACATCCAACGAGCCCTACATGAACTATTTCTAATAAACGGGTGTTAAATTAATAATAATTAATAAAATTTATTTAAATAATTAATAACATTTGAAGAAATAAAGATAAATCGTCAATTCTTTTTTTATTTGGAAGATCATCTAATTCTGTGTCAAAAAAAGAATATTAAGTATTACCAAGAATCAAAAATTAATTATAAAATGTTATTTAGAAAAAGACTGAAAAATACCATGCCGAGTAGGTAGTTAGCCCCCTCCAACTTGTGTCGTAGGGTGTTAAAACCTCAATTTTCAAAAATCATCTGTTAATAATTTAGATTTGTTAAAAATGTTATTTATACTGGTTTTATTTAACACAGAATTAGATGATCTTCCAAATAAAAAAAGAATTGACGGTTTATCTTCATTTCCTTAAATGTTATTAATTATTTAAATAAATTTTATTAATTATTATTAATTTAACACCCGTTTATTAGAAATAGTTCATATAGGGCTCGTTGGATGCGGATTTTGATAAGCATTATAATGGTGTTTTTTAAATTACTGTAATTTTATTTGTTCGTAAAATATTTCATTTTTTATTAACTTTTGTTAGTTAATTAATTAATATCTCGAAAACAAAAAATAATGCCATCTCAAAAATTTAACCATCAATTTATTATGACTTAAACAATATTCATGATTTTTTTCGCGCTTCTAAATGAGGGAGAACATGGTTAAAAGTTATAAACAAATTTTATTTTTTAAACAAATTGTTTAAAAATTAATATTTTTTTAAAAAAATAATTTTTTTCTAAAAGTTTAAGATCTTCCGCGTAAAAAACATTCACAACATTTTTCTCTATTTTTAATATGAAAAAAGTTATAAGTAAAGCAAAAAAATATTGCTCAAATTTGTTATTGTAAATATCTCGAAAAATATTAAAAATTTCAAATTCAAAAATTGTACACTCATTTAGCACCACTATCACTACAATTTACCAAATTTTGAGAAAAATCCGAGACATGACCCCGTCTTCTCATATGAAATGTCTCATATTATTCAAGTTGGAAATTATATTAGAAGGTAAATTATTATTTTCATTAATTAAAAAATTTAAAAATCAACTAAAATTCAATATTTTGAAATTAAGAATGTGTGGATATTTGGTATCCACTGACTCAGGAGAAGGTGCTTCAGATGGGAAAATGATAAATCTCAAGTTCCGTTAACTCCAATTTATTTCCACTTCGTTAATTGTTAATTGATACGGCCACCGACTCTCCACTCACCACACGTCTATACTCGGCTCAGGTCCGGCGAGAATCTAACCTCGCACTCACTCTCGGATTCACAGGTGATTGTCGCGACACGCGTTCTCAATCGGCGGAAGTTCGGGGGAGAGCTTAAGGCTCATCCCCACACACTCCCCCCGAGTGATAACGGTGTAACATTCAAAATTTCACTCTTTCGTCGAATAACAATTTTGTGCATACATACGGAGTCGTGGCATAATTTTTTTTTTATAAATTCATTTATATAAATATAATTTTACTTTATTGTTTTACATTGTCGTATTTGTCAGAAAATATCACAGCATTTGTTTTTCTTATAATTAATTATTTTTATATTTATTCTCTTTTGAGTAAAGTCAATTATTTTAATTATATTTATTAAACTAATAGTTGCAACTTTTTATTAACTCTATTTAATTTTGAAAAATGAAATTCGTCATTTTTGTACAATGTTTTTTATTGTATTTTACCATTTATTTATTTTTGTTTCATTTTTAGGGTTCCGTACCCGAAGGGGGAACCCTATTAATGAGACTAGTGAAGCAAGGCATGTACCCCCCCCTAGCGGCCACACGAATTTATCTAGAGGGTTGAAATTTGGTATACATATGTATTTTGGCGTGTAGATTACAGGAAAAATATAGCGAATCTCATAGGAATTGATTATCATAGCGTTGTCAAGGAAAAACCATGAATTTTTACGAAAAATCCCTGAAAATGACTATGTACCCCCCCTCTGGTTGCCACATCTTTTTACATAGAGAGCTCAAATTTGGTACACTTATGTATTTTTACGTGAAAATTACAGGAAAAATATAGCGAACACGATTCGGATCAATTTACATAGCGTTGTCAAGGAAAAATCAAAAATTTTGAAAAAAAGCGTTTAATCCACCTAGCGCACACACTATTTGACCAAGACAGTTCATATTTGGTATACTTACGTATTTTTGCGTGTAGATTACAGGAAAAATATAGCGAGCACGATTGGAGTTGATGATCATATTGTTTTTAAGGAAAACTCATATTTTTAGAAAAAATCATGGATTTTTCGAATAAAAAAAGAAGAAAATTTTATCTTAAGGAATTCAAATTTATACATTTTTACGTATTTTTACGTGTAGATTACAAAAAAATTATAGCGAGAACGATTAGAGTTGATTATCATAGAGTTTTTAAGAAAAAACTGATAATTTTTTATAAAAATCATGAATTTTCTTCAAAAAACGAAGAAAATATTATCTAATGGGCTTCAAACTTATACATTTTTATGTATTTTTACGTATAAATTACAAAAAAATATAGTGAGCATGATTGGAGTTGATAATCATAGCGTTTTTAAGGAAAAACTGATAATTTTCGTTATATGTGACTATGTGTCTATCTATGTGTTTTTATGCTCACATTACAGGAAAAATTAAGCAAAATTGGAATTTTTCCACATGCCTTCACACTTTAACCCCTTAAATTGTAGGTTTAAGGGTACGGAACCCTCGGTTTTAATGCGAGTGTAACTCGCACTTGTCCGATTTTTCTTTTTTTAATACGCGAATTTATTTTATTTAGCTAGCTGATTATTTCTATCTCTCCATGTTTATTTTGTTTTTAAACCTCTACGGAGAATAGAAGGAACGAATTTTTGTCGTTTTTGGATATCCTTGTCGCTTCGATTCGGTATCGCGTCCGATACTATTATTTTTTTATTATTTGTTTCTACAATCGGTTTTTCTTCACGTTTATTTCTGCGGAGAATGGATGGTACGAATCTAACATGTTTGCGCGTTTCGTGTCGTTCTAATTCGTGTTCCAAATCTATCGCGACCGGTATAATTATTTCCGGATTGTTTTTCGTGTTTTTCCGATGTATTACGATATCGTTTTTATTCGAATCTTTATCGCTGATCAAATTTTCCGTTTCTTTATCATTTTGTACATAGTTTTCGGTTTTTTTATTTTGTTCGATAACGTTTTGTTTATTATCTACGTGCGAACTATGTGCATTTTCGGAAGTATTTGTCGTTGTAATTTGTTCTTCCGGTAAAAAGAAAGCAGGTTTTATATTTTCTATCGAAACTCTTTTTTTATTTCCATTTACTTCTATCTCGTATACTCGATCCGAAATTCGCTGAGTTACACGATGAGGGCCAGAGTATGGTCTCTCTAGTGATTTTCGAATAGGTGGGGCTTTTAGGAAAACGTGGGTACTATTCTCGAGTTCTTTATGGATAAAAACACGACGATTATGGTTGTGAGTCACGGGAATAGGTTTTATGCGATTAATGTAGTTCTTGAATTCTGTTACAAAAGTATTTCGGTCTTGATCGTTTTCACGGGGTAACGTAAACTCCCCGGGAATACGTAATGTTGTGCCGAATGTATACTCTGCGGGTGAGTAACCACATTTTAAAACACTCGTCCTAAGTCCTAACAACACTGAGGATAATGCTCGAGTCCAATTTTCGCCTGCATGGCACATTATCGCCGCTTTTAGAGTTCGGTGCCACCTTTCCACCATACCGTTGGATGCGGGATGTTATGAGGTGGTCCGAACTCTATGGGATCCAATAAAATTCATTAAATTTTGTGTCATACGCTACTCGAATTCTTTTCCCTGATCCGTTGTGACTGTTTCCGGTACTCCGAACCTAGTGACCCAGTTATCGTAGAATGCTCGACACACGGATTCGCTCGATTTGTCCTTTATAGGAATTACCTCGGGCCACCTCGTGTATCTGTCTATTATTGTGAGACAATACAAGAAACCATCGCTTAGACCCAATGGACCGATCAAATCCATGTGTATATGAGCAAATCTTGCTGTGGGTGGAACGAAATGATTTGGGTTAGTTATCGTGTGTCTTGTAATTTATGACGATTGACAGTCTATGCAGCCCTTTGACCACCTAGTAATGTCACGTTGCATATATGGCCACACGAATCTTTTTCTAAGCGTTCGATACAAAGCTTTCGCGCCCGGATGAGCTTGAGAGTGAAAAATTTCAAATACGCGTTTGCGAAAAGTCATTGGCAAAATATAACGGACCACATTATTAGACACGTCACACGTTATTTTAATTTTCTCGTTTCCGAAAGTAATATCGCGAATTTCCAATCCCGATGTGGGTGAATTTTTTAGTTTCATGACGTCATCGTCATTTTCTTGCGCTTTTGCTAAATCTTGTAAATCGAATTCAGTTGGTAGATTAATTGTTTCGATGCGTGATAGTGCGTCAGCGGTTGTATTTAGTTCCCCTGGGATATGTTCTATCCATGTGGTAAATTGTGAAATAATCGCGATCTGTCTTTGTGTACGGTCTGAGATTTTGTCTGATTTTTGTGTGAACATAAATGTCAGTGGTTTGTGGTCGGTTAATATTTTAAATGTGTGTGGTTTTAAAAAGTATTTAAAATGTTTGATAGCTTGAAAAATTGCGAGTAACTCACGGTCGTAAGTGCTATATTTACGTTGGGAGTCGGTTAATGTTCTCGAAAAATACGCGAGTGGTCTCCAATGTCGATTTATATATTGTTCTAAAACGGCCCCGATACCAATGGTAGGGGTGCCAGTGTTAAACAATGACAGGTATTCGTGTAGAATATCGCTGTATTTTGCGTTTTTATCGATCAAACTTGTTATTTATTTTGGAAAAAGCAACGTCTCCTCTGCAGCTCAATCTAGTCAAAGGATCTATTATTTTATGTTCTTTCAAATCAACGATTAAACCAAATTGTGATATCAAATCCGCGCCAATTATAGGTCTGGGAACGTCGGCAACGCAAAAGTTCCATGTTATTTCTCGTCTTAATCCAAGATCTAATGTAATTTTCTTATTAAATTATAATGATAATTTTCCTTCCCAATTATATATTAGAATGTGAAAATTTTGATCCACGGAAGGTATTTTAAATAACACAAGTTTTATGTCATTTTTTAATTTATTGCTAAGCAACGTTTCGATGACATGGTTTTGTCATCCTCTTCAGGCAAGTATAAAATTAAAATTACATTTTTTGTAATTAGTCAAATGAAAATTCGCTTGCCATGATAAGACACAAAATTTTATATTCATTTGACTAATTACAAAAAATGTAATTTTAATTTTATACTTGCCTGAAGAGGATGACAAAACCATGTCATCGAAACGTTGCTTAGCAATAAATTAAAAAATGACATAAAACTTGTGTTATTTAAAATACCTTCCGTGGATCAAAATTTTCACATTCTAATAATTTTCTTATTTCCGAATGTTTTAATTCTTGTGTCGTTTGCTGCGTATAACACGAGTTTATTGGGATTGTCTCTTTTTATCAAGTGGACGGGTAAGATTGACAAATCGGACCCTGTATCGACTAAGAATTTCCATTTATTTTTTTTATCTATAACATGAAGGCGATTGGATGCGTTTGCTACAGTGCACGCCTCTGATCTCTGTAAGCCTATTCGTTTCCCGACGATCTTCGTTCGCGTCTTTCCGAATAATCCGATCTATCAATTTCACTTTGTGAATGGCGGTTATTAGGACGTTCTTCACTACGGCTTCTATTTTCGCGAAAACTACTGTTTCTAAATCCTCGACCGCGGTGATTTGAGAAATTATTATATCCGTTATTCCAATTACTTCTTGGCCGCGAATGACCTCTATAATTTCCCGAGTAGCCTCTGTAGCCACGATATGATCCGCCTCGACCGCGATAAAAATGACCTCGTGAGCCTCGACGATTAAAATTTTGCATTTTTTTATTTGATTTATCAAATTTTGCCTTTAAAGAAGCTACTTCTGATGTTAGATTTTCGAGTTTATTATCCGCATTTTCCTTTTTAACTTCATCCGCAACCGAAGCGACGATGACATTATTTCCGGAATCGACTTCTGCCATTTGATCGGCTTTTTTCGCGATTTCATTAAGTGTCATATCACCCGTTGACGTTAAGACTAACTGGTGTTGCTTCGGTAATTTCGTCAAAAATATTGCTTTTAAAATGTCTTCACTAACGTTTGCAGAATTTAAGCTTCGCAACCCGCTCAATATTTGCGAAGGTTTGCCACTTGTCAAAACCTCGCCCCTAATGAGCCGGTACATGCGAGATTCATCGGATATAGAGAAATGCGAAATAATAGCGTTTTTCATTTGAGTATAGGAATTATGAGGTCTCGGGTTAGCCATTACAATGTGCTTAACACAGCTTAAAACATCCGCGCTAGCATTCGCAACGAGAGCTTGAGATCGTTCATTTTCATTTATTATATTTTGATTTGCAAAAATTGATTCTACTTGAATGAACCAAAGTTCAGTTTCGTTAGGCAACATTTTAGGTAATTTAATTGTTTTAAATCTTTCAACATTATTAACAGTCATGTTTACCAATTGTGACAACGTGTTATTGAGATCGATTGGTGAATCCCTGGAAGTACCAGGTTGAGCAATGTTTTGTTGTCTTTGTTGATTTTGTTGTTTCTGTTGTTGTTGTAGATTAAGTTGTCTTTGTTTATGTTGAATATTTGCGTCCTCGAGCTCTCGTTCACGCTGCGTGCAAGCCGTCAGCCTCTTATTTAATTCCGCCTCAACACGTCGAAGTTCAGCTTCCTGTGCTTGCAATCTGACAGACTCTTGTTCAAGTTCCTCGGCACTTCTCGCACGAGTGGTCGGCGACATTTTGATTTTTTAATTTAATCTCTGCAATATATCGATAAAGAATAAGAATCTATATGATTTATTTTATTTTATTGTACAAAAATGAGAATTTTTATCGAATGTGATGTTTATTATTTAATTTTGTTTTAATTTGAAATAAAATCCAAAATAACTTTGAATTTTTCTGACATTGTGGAAATTGGAGAAAATGAAAAATTAATGTTTTGTTACAACAATCTGTATTTCACACGTTCATTCATCAAGTAAAAAAGAATTTTAAATTATTTTTAATTTTATTGTTTGTTTAGTGACCATCCAAGCACACGCCAGCGACGTCAAATTGTTTAATTTTAATTTATAAATTTGATTTTTATTTAATAATATTCAACAAATTACCGTATTAAGGGTAGATCATTTAAGTTAATTATAAACGCGAGATATAAAATTCATGAATCAATTTTTTTTATTAAATAAATAAACTAATTATAGAATGTTCAATCCGACTATTCAAATTTCTTAAAACCCTTAATATAGGCAATTATTGATTAGTTTCAATTTAAATCGTTATTTACATACGCACATAGTATTTTTATTTCTACTTTATATTTATACATTTCATAAATTTTATTTGATGTAAAATCTGTTTGATATTTATTTTTGTCATCGCTGGCGTGCGTTGGTCTGTCTATTGTGTTTCTATTCTATTATTAAGTGTTGTTATTGAAAAGAGAAATTTTGATTTTAATTAAATTTGATAGTGTTATCTGAAATTTCTTGAATGATCACTATTAGTCACTCATGCTTACATACCAAAATACTCATTATAATTTGTATATAATTTTGAAAATTATTTTGAGAAATGATTTTTCTTTGTTAATTTTACCGTTATTAAAATTGATTTAATATATTTTGAAATTTATTATTTTTATATAAATGAAAGAAAAATTTAGAAAAATTTATGTTTTTAATTTTTTTATTAGAAAAAATATTTTTATTGAGAAAATTTTAATTTTAGAAAAAGATTTTAATTATTGTTTTTTTTTATTAGAAAAGAAAAAAAAATTTTATTAAAAGGAATACTTAATTTCGTGTGATGATGATGATGCAGATGTTGACGTCTTTGGAGATTCTCGTCGTCTCTCGAAGATGATGTTGCTCAGTTAATAGATGTCATCGAAAATTTTAATATTGAATTCTGCTGCCTTGATTTAATTCCTGTTGTTTCGTCATGAACTGCATGCTTTGTTTGAACTCCCGGCTGCTATACATCAGGATGGCCCAGGATCGTCATCGACGTTGAATGTATTAATTTTTATGTTTTTCAATTCCGAAAAAAAAAATTATAATATCAGTATTTTTGTGTTACTGTATTATTTATTTAATTTGAGCGAGAGACTTTTCGACTTTTAGTTGTTAGTGGGCTGAATGAAGTGTTGAGTCGCGGCGTGGTCTTTATGGCGTGGTGTCAAAAAATTTCCAATTTTTGCAAATTTTGGAAAACTGATTATATAAAAATTTGTATCGAAATTTTTAGTACTTGCATGATACTTTCATTTGACTTATTGTTGGAGATGAGAGAGATACATCCAGATGAATTAACCTTCCAGACTGCCATGTGCTGAGTTGATTTGCGTTGGCGTCCATTTTTGCATTTTCAGAGTATAGTTGGTCGTCCAATAAATCGGGGTCACCAATGTGGATAATTGGTATCCACTGACTCAGGAGAAGGTGCTTCAGATGGGAAAATGATAAATCTCAAGTTCCGTTAACTCCAATTTATTTCCACTTCGTTAATTGTTAATTGATACGGCCACCGACTCTCCACTCACCACACGTCTATACTCGGCTCAGGTCCGGCGAGAATCTAACCTCGCACTCACTCTCGGATTCACAGGTGATTGTCGCGACACGCGTTCTCAATCGGCGGAAGTTCGGGGGAGAGCTTAAGGCTCATCCCCACAAATGGGATTAATGAAGTAACGTAGTCGACCGCGAAGCGGTCCACGGAAGCGCTAGCAATGATAAAATCAAATGAATGACATTTCAATCAATTTAAAAAAAATGATAAATTAAATTTAGAGAATTAAATTCATTCTTAAATAGATTTAAAAACCAATAAAATAATCAATTAAATTCAAAAGAAATCATTTTAAATTAAATTAAATTCAGATTTAAAGAAAATTCATTATTAAAAAATTTAAACAAATAAATAATTTTGAGATATCATTCATAAATGAGAAATAAAATTTTATCAGAAAATTCTAGAATCAATGTTATCAAAATGGCTGACAGCAACGAATCTCCTATGATTCTCAAACAAATTCTTATTTTTTTGATCTTTTATATATTTTTTATTTTTGTTTCCTTTATTTTCTTATTATTTCCTTTATATATTTTAAATGATATAAATATATTTTTTTATTAATTGAGATTCCCAAAATCAGATTGACGAAATAATATAATAAAAGCGTCTAACTTATACGAAATCACATTAAAGAATAATAAAAAATACGTTGTTTGTTTTCTCCTAGGAGATTTTTCGTTACTACCCAAAAAAAATGAATATCTAAAAAAATAAAAAGATCGGGACAAAAAAGAAAAGTTCGACGATCGGTAAATGGTTTTCATCTATATCTTGACGCTGATTGGTTGAAACTGATCAAGTGCGAAATGCAAATTCGATAATAAATATTGACAAAAATTGTTTCCTTGAATAATAATACTTCTTCTTGATTAACGATTTTAATACGTTAATCCGACGCAAGATGGTAAATCCTTAATTCTTCTCCAATATAAATATTAATGATTTCGGAATTAATATTAAAAGGACCCCGCACGTTTTGCATGGAAAATGGCTTTCAGCCAATTTTTCTGAAACTTTGTAGTTTTGTAGTTTAAGGCCTCCTGAACAAAAAATGTTAATGGCAAAACTTAAAATAATGGACAGTTTTTTTGCTACAATGGCTCAAAGTTAAAAAACAATAGCATTATGGGCATAGACTTTTGTGAATTTAAAACTTTTAAAACTTAATTAAATCTGCTTAAAACTCGTTACTCGGGGGTTTTTGGGGTCGCTGATTACGAAACCGAGTTTTGTTTTTTAAAATTCAAAATGGCGGATCCACTATAGCCGACGATTTTAAAAAATAATCATTGAATTCTCTTGAAAATGGTTATTTGGGGGTTTTCGGGGTCGCTGATTACTATGACGTTCGTTTTAAATAATTCAAAAAGACGGATCCAAAATCGCTTGAATTCTTGACTTTTTTTGCTTTGGGGTTTTTTCTCTATTAATAAAGCAAATTGTTCGTACACATCAGAAAACGCACGAGAATCGCAGA